AGATAGAGGGATAGACGGAGAGAGAGGTAAAAGACAGAAAGGTGAACCTATTCTATCCTCTACTATCCAGTCTGACTGGTTCGTTCTTACAAACGTCAGCCTGCAAGACAACAAGACAAAAAGTCAAGTGACCAAATGATCACAGAGGACCTACATTCAAGGACTCTGCTTCTGTAGGGTCACTGACGTCATCGGTGACGTATGATTCGGCTTTGACTTTGCCAACCGAGGATCACGTGACCAGCTGAATCAATCAGATGCAGGTGACGTCACAGTCCTACTTCCATACAGTATTTGAACGTAGGCACTTTTCCTTTTTAGCCATCGCGCAGGAGGCGTAAGGGAGGAAACTTACTGTTATTGACGTCACAGACTGACGTCAATAAGAGGTGTTCTGACTATCCAGCATACCCGTAAATCCAGCATACCTTACGGCAGACATGTCCAAAGTCCGGCCCGGGGGCCAAATGCGGCCCGTGGTCAAATTTCATGCAGCCCGCAGCCTCTGTCATAAAATCAATAACGTCTGGCCCGCACGTAGAATTAATACATTGGGCAGCAGTACTGTTACCTGCATAGGGTGTAGCTTACACACTAAATGCCGTTCCTCATTTACCCACTAGAGGGCAGCAGCCCGTGTGACTCAGACCTTTTGCAGATGGAGCTCATTGAGCTGCAGAGTGATGCAAACAGCCGCCAGCAGGTCGGCACCAGCAGCTTTTTCTCGTCAACTTTTACCGACAGGTTTCGAGAGATTCTAGCATTTAGAAAGAAAATGCTAATCTTGTTTGGGTCGACTCTCACTTACAATCAATCAATCAAATTTTATTTGTATAGCACATTTCAGCAGCAAGACTTGTGCACATCTTTTAGCTAACATTACCTGCATCCAACAGCTTTACTCAACTCAGCCGGTTAGTTTGGGGGAAAAAACTGTGAAAAGTTTTTGCGTTTTGCTGGTTTGCTGCCATGATTCTAACACACCTGCGTAGCTCTGCACAGCAGCAGCAGCAGGTCTCCTTCAGTGCCGCACAGGTGTAAACCCAGCGCGAGCGTCTGAGCGTTCATGTTGCGTTTGAAGGCGGCTCGGAAAAACAGCTTACGACATGTTAACAACGGATTAAACTGTTTTAGCTGCTGAAAAAGGTGACAGGACACGGATATGAGAAATGGGGGAGCTCCTATTGTATCAAATTGATATAGGAATAACAGACTGTTGGCCATTCTAAGGTAAAAACAATAAACAGTTTCCAGTCCAAATGTAATTTGCACTCAAGAGTACAATTACTTCTGTTTAAAAGTTAGTGTTAAAAAATTGAAGTTAAGTGAATATTCAATTGCATATGCTATGCATGTTTCAAATGAACCAAAAGACATGCTTAAGATCGCTGAAATTAAAATAAAAAAGCAAATGTGAAACGCAGAATGGCTTGCTGAAATTTGTTTAAATATATTGCTGGTATTTATTCCAAAATTTCTAAAATTTACAAGACAGGATGTGCACTGTGGTGCCAATATTATCAAATCTAAGAAAATTCCTCTGGAATTGATCTATAAATTTATGAACAAAGACCACTTTTAAAGTTTTCAAAGAAATATGTAACATTGGAGGCAAACTTCAAAGAGCAAAGACTTGTCTTTTTACAGGACCCTAAATATGATTTGATTTCTAATCTGCATATGTAGCTTTTACAAAATGAAATTTTTTAAATTTTTGTTAAAACTGTCATCATGTTGTGTCAGTGAAAGACAATCTGTGAAAACATTAAGCTCCACACTTCCTCGCTGTATCTCTATAGCCATCTGCAGAAATGTACCATTCCTGGTCAGAAACAACCAATCAGAGTCAGGAGGAAGGTTTTAGCACTGTCAATCAACCTTGTGTATGCCCTGTTGGATGTGATAATGGTGGAGAAACAACTTGCTGTCACCGAAAAACAGTTTTTCCACAGCCAGTGCTGACGATGCTAATTAGCCTGAGCATTCATGAGAGGCTCTGCTGTCGAGAAGAAGCTGTAGTGTAGCAGAGAGCAAGAGGGAGCAATTGAGCAGCACATATACAAGTTTGATTGACAACAGTGAAACCCCCCTTCTGGCTCTGATTTCGTGTTTCTGACTAATTTGTGTATTTCTGCAGTTAGCAATGGGAGAAAGCAGACGAGCTCGAATTTTTCACAGATCTACCTCACATTATACGGTCACAACATAGTAACACATTCAACATATATGTAAAAAAACCAACAACTTTTTTTTTAATTACATACTACAGTTTTAAGAATATTTGTTTTATTTTTATCATAACCCGGCATATTAATTAAAAGTCTTACTGAGAACTATGTTGGCTAGCTGTGAGAAAAACCCAGGATGATAACAGATTCCTATGACTTCATTGATATCAAAGGTGTTGCTCTTCGTCTGTGTATATTTAGCTGTCAGGCCCGATCCGTCTCCGTCTCTTTCCTCCAGGTACAGCACATGCGCAGGAACCTGGACCAGAGTGAGGCGGCCATCATTCAGGTGTTTGAGGAGAAGCAGCGTGTTTGGGAGCGACAGATGGACGAGCTGAGGCAGAACTACGCTTCACGTCTGCAGCAGGTGACCTCAGTTGTATAAAACAGCTTCCTGCGGTAACCTGTGCTGCCACCACCTCCTCTTTCAGTGTTGACAGTACGTTAGGGTGACGTTAAATGTTTGTTTTCTTCCGTATAATGTTTGCATACGAACCAAAAAGCTCAATTTTGGTCTCGTCTGAGCAGTTCACCTTCTTTCACGTTTGCTTTGTCCCATGAATGGTTTCTGACAAACTGCAGACAGGACATCTAATGGCTTCCTTTCAACAGTAACAATCTCCCCCTCAGTCTTTCATAAAAGGTAGATACTGTACATGGAGTGCACAGATGTCATGTCAACAGATTCTCACACCTGAGTTGTGGATTGCTGCTGCTCCTCTAAAGTTATTGTGGGCCTTTTGGCTGATTTTCTCAAATAAAGCTTTCAAAATCAGCTTTATTGGTCAAGACTGCGTGCACAAATAAGAAAAATGACTTAGATTTTCAAGCTCTTTCAGGCCTACATTTATAAGGTATAAATATACAGACTTTAGAGGAAATAAAATAGGGATAAAAGAAGATATAAATGCATTTTTTTTATATTAAGAAAAGGAAAAAAATATTGTTGTTTCCTTGCTTGGTGGGTCAGATTATGGGGTAGACAAATCTCTGTGGGTTTCCATTTGTTCCACACTCTTAATTTTTAGTGGACAGATTGTGCAGTACTGTGGCCTGGCTATAAATGCAGGTCACACTTTTGTTAATTTTGCATGTAAAACATTCAGGACACAGCCTTTCCCTTCCATTTCATAACTATGCACTGCCTTATCTTTCAAATAAACCACAGCAAAGCTTGTAGTTGTAAAACAAGAAAATGTCAAAACGTTGACAGGATGTGAATATATGTTACAAGCTGTAAATAGTACATTTACGTTCCCCTGTAGGTTACCCGCCGGGCTCAGCGCTCCCAGACCGCCCTGCAGGCCCAGATCACTCGTCTGTCTCAGGACAAAAGGAGGCTCCAGGAGGAGATGGCGGCCCTGTTGGCTCAGAGAGAGGAGCTGGAGAGAAAGTGCCTGGACTACAGGAAAGAACAGGCTGACATCCTGCCGCGTCTGGAGGAGACCAAGTGGGAGGTGAGACATGAGATGTTCCACTTGACCAGTTTGGTAAAATGACTGCAGGCCTTCATTGTAGGTAGGATTTAAAGGTGAGACATTGTGCAGATTCATACATTTGGTTTGGAAATCAAATCAAACAAATAGCATTCATTTTCTGAATAAAATATCAAATAAGAGTCGACATCCCTGTTTTCTCCTTCCTTTCATTCAAGCATGTAGAATCACCATGACTCAAGATCTTCATAAACTTATCTTTCTGAATAAAAGTGCAGGATAATCCTAATTTTTAAAAGAAAATGTTGATCAAAACTCGCCTCTTTTGCAGCAATTCCATTCTCACAAATACACTAAATGTATACAGCTTACTAAGTCACAGATGTTTAGCTGTACATTAGAGAAGATATTCAAAACAATGCATCAAAAAAAAAAAAAAAAAAACATTATGAGAGGAAAATCAGCTTTATTGCGAAGAAATACTTGAACAGAGTTGTAGGAAGGAACCGATTTGTCCATGTTTTGGTACATTATCCTTCTAAATGACCTTCTGACAACCCATTTTCAGCATATCATGCAGTAAATAATGTATTTTAAAGCATTTTTTTACATTTCTTTTCTATGCGTTGTTCCTGTGACAGGTTTGTCAGAAAGCAGGTGAGATTTCCCTCCTGAAGCAGCAGCTCAGAGAGAGTCAGGCTGAAGTGACCCAGCGGGCCGGAGAGATGGTGGCCCTGAGGGGTCAGCTGAAGGAGCTCAACGCCCAGCTGAGGGAGCGGGAGGAGGTCATGCTGGGTCTGAAGGATTCCTACAGCACAAAGTGTCTGGAACTGGAGAAGTGTGAAGGCGAGCTGAGGAGGACACTGTCTGAGGTGGGCTTTTAAAGCAAACGTCTCTGTTATGTTAAGAAAAAAAGACAATGAGATGAATTATTCATGAACTTTACCAGTCCATCAATGTTGTTCATACAAAACTTGGTATAAGTTGACTTTAAAACATAGAAAACAAGTTCAGTTTTTAATTAAAATGTTCAATTCTCACTAATTGGGTTATAAATTAAAAGCATACATAAAATTCTGTTTTGACAAATATTTACTATGTTTTCTGTTAATGCAAATCAATGAAATGTCAAAGGTTAGGAGTTTGTTGGTAGAAAATCAGTATAATTGAGAAAATATTTGCGCAATTTTTTTCAGTAGTTTTACACAGAGTGACCCTATTTATGAAACATACATGAAAATGACTGCAAACTATATCCACCATGGCTGGTGTTGGGGAAGTGGTCCCCAACCCTGCTCTTTGGGGACGTCATGCCTGAAATCCTGGCAAGTAATTCAAGCATCAGAGTTAAGTGTGTTGAAGCAATGACAGATCTAAATAACGTAGGATCACTTCCCAAGGATCCAGGTTGGAGAACCCTGCTTTAAGCCAGTGGCTCATCATTGTTTCTTCCAAGCGCCTCCCTTTTTGGTGCCCCACTCCATTCAATAAATCAAAGAGTGAAGCTCTGTTACTGAGGGCAGACAGGTGTCACCCGTTTGATTGACACAATCAAACAGTTGCACCTCCTACAAACAAATGGAAATCCAGGAAATCCACTAAAACGTGAACTGGAGGAAAATGCTGCTATCCACACTCAAATAAACCACTTCCTCTAATTTCAGTGCGCCTGCTCACCACCAGGGGGCGTCAATTCCTTACTGAATACTCAGTAAATTCAATACAAAACTCATTCAGGGCTTGACTGACACATTTTTGGTGCCTCCAACATCTGATGGCATCCTGGAAAACTTCACATGTTGCCAATATCTTCAACAGGACGGTTCAATGTAAATGATATCCATCAGTTAGAATAGCCTAGTCAAAGTCCAGGCCAAAATTTAAGTTATAATGTAAGAAAAAGATAGAAAATTCGTGTTTTTAGTCCTTATCCATCTTGTCTGGCTGAGTTTGCAAAAAAAGTAATGAGTAAAAATGATTTGTTTTAGCTGTGAATAACTGGTAGGCATTCCCCATAAGACTTACATCTGTCAATGCAGCAAAAGGTGGATGAACTAAGTAATGATTCAGAAAGGATGACAAAAAGCACACCACACTCTTTGTCTATAACTATAAACTAAATCCAAAAGTTACAATGCTCTGTTTACATAAGAGTTTGCATTTCTTTTTCCAAAAGGTGTCCATCCTGAGAGAGAAGTTGGGTGTGTTTGAGGCAGAGGTGCTAAGTTTAAAGCGTGCTCTGAGTGAAGCGAGCAGAGGAGCAGAAGTGATTGTGAGCCCAAACTTGGCTGCAGCAGGGTTGCTGCCACCGTGGGGAGCTGTCCACTGCCTTCGAAACCCAACTGAGCCCCCCACCAGCTCGCTCACCCCCACGTCCGACACCCTGCTCAGCCTGCAGAGCGATGAAGCTAAAGCCCAAAGGCAGGAAGCTCAGAGACAGGAGAGGCAGCAGCGTGAAGAAGCTCAGTGGCGCGATGTGCAGCACCGGCAAGATACCCATATGCAACAGGACATCCAAATGGGTCAGAACCCGCAGATCAGACCGGAGGCCCAGCTCCGCCAGGAGGCCCAGCTCCGGCAGGAGGCCCAGCTCCGGCAGGAGGCTCACCTTCGCCACGAGGCCCAAATCCGCCAAGAAGCACAGCTGCGTCAGGAGGCCCAGCTCCGCCATGAGGCTCAAATGCGCAATGAGGCCCAGCTCCGTCACGACTCCCAACTCTGCCAGGACATGCAGCTGCGTCAGGAAGCCCATCAGCCACAGCGGGCGCAGGAGGGTCACTGGGATGAGGCCGGGGAGCTGCGCAGGCAGCTTGAACAGCTGCAGGGTGTACTGCGCTTGGAGCGGCAGCAACGGGAACGACAGGCCCTCAACTTTGACCAGGAACGGCACACCTGGCAGGACGAGAAGGAACGGGTTCTGAAGTATCAGGCACAGCTGCAGCTCAGCTATGTGGAAACTCTACAGAAAAACCAGGCTTTGGAAAAGCGCATGAGCCAGTTGGGAACGAAGCAAACCACAGTCTCCACCACTACTGTTACCACTACCACCACTGCTTCCCCCACCTCCTCCAACTCTCCACCTCCACCACCAGCCATGTCGCCTTTGTCTCCTCAGCAACTCCCTTCCTTCTCTGGCCCTTCTTCCCTTTCTGGTCCTTCTTCTCTCTCTGGTCCTTCTTCTCTTTCTGGTCCCCCTTCCCACTCTGGACCTCCCTTTCTGTCTGGTTCACCTTCCCTTTCTGGTCCTCCTTCCCTTTCTGGTCCTCCTTCCCTCTCTGGTCCTCCTTCCCTCTCTGGCCCTCCTTCCCTCTCTGGTCCCCCTTCTCTCTCTGGTCCTCCTTCCATCTCTGTTCCTCCCTCCCTCTCTGGACCCATCGCCCTCACTCTCTCTCCTCCCTGTGAAGACCAAAAGGGGCCCCCCTCGCTCCACCAGCTCGCTCCTCCGTGGGCCGGACCATCGCGCCTGGAGAGGATAGAGTCTACAGAGATATAGACACAGATTCATGAAGCTAATGCTCAGTTTTTTCTACACTCACAGTGTTGAGGCCTCTTCCACAAAACCTATTTCAGCATACAGTAGAAAACAAGGTCTAAAACAATCACTTTTTCAAAGCAACAAACCTATCAGGAACCAACATCATATCAACAGGAAACTGAACTACATTCTGCATTATCGCTGAATTTTTAACCTCCTAAGAGGCCTTTCTGTCTCTCTTAGTGTTGCACATGGATACATCTTACATTACCAGAAACGTGTGCCATGGGTTTGGATGGCAAAAGAAATAGAAAACAATGAAAAAAATTAAAATTACAGACCTAATACGTGCATCATTTAAGTCCCACGCTAGAAAAGGAACAAGACAATCAGGGATATTGTCGGAAATGATCAAGAATATATTGTGCTGTTTATTCATTGTAAGTCTATGTCACTGGTTATGTAAAAGTAGAATTAGTGGTCAGAGTGTGTGACGTCAACTTACATTTTGGCCAGAGAGCGCCTTACCCCATCCTTCCCAGCAAGTGTAAGAGAGCAAATTAGTGCTGGGAACTGAAAAAAAAAGAAGAAGAAAAAAAGATAGAGAGCGTGGTTATTTATTTTCAGTGCTTTATCTGTAATATCAGCACACCAGCTGCGCAAAACTATTACACGGGGCTGGACTGTTTTCTTTTTTAATCTCAGCAGATGTTGACCCCTGAGGTCTCACACACATACACAAACATACACTGCACAGGGTCCAACACACATGGCCCATTTAAACACTAAGACCAAGAGAATTTATATTTTCTACAAATTGAATTTAAATACGATGGCTTAGCAGATAATCAGCCCAAACTGAGTATAGATGACATTTTTAAGCATAAGAGAACTCCATCAGCTCTCACTTTAGATTCTCTGCAGTGACCAAAAATGAAGGTCACAGGAGCACGAACTCCTTCGCTGAACTGCAAGAACGTGAATGTACGCACACAGTTTGAATTTGAATAATGTTATGATAATTGTGTCTCTGTGCATTCACTGCCAAGAAACCAGCCAGTCAGTCAGGCAGGCAGTCGGTACCCCCAAAAGGGAAACATTTTATAGAATGTATGATATACTTGCAGAAAGATATACCTATTATAGTTATAGATTGTAAATGTGCGCGTGTGAGGAGGTATGAGAGAGAGTGTGTGCATGTGTGTATACATATGAAAAGCTTCAGCTTATGAGATTGAAGATAGAGGGACTAGTGGCAATACAAACTAAGAAATATGAAGGGAAAAGATGCGATGCTTGTTCAAAAACATTGAGAATTTTAAAATGGAAATAAAAACACAATGCAATGCTTTGCAAATCTCTTACAAGTGGATAAAATGAGCTGTCTTGCGATCTCCCGGAATGGCACTGAGACGAGGGATGTCTGGGTTTCCCTACTGTTATCCGGGCAGCTGCAATGAGTGGAATACCACCAATGGTTGGACGATAAACCCATATTTCATTCACTGTGGAACATAGAACACATATTAAATGTGGAAACTAATATATTACATCATTTGTTCAAGATTGTTTAATAATAATCAAACCAAAAAATAAAAGTATGGAGACCAGTTGCTGAAGTTTTTGGAGGACAATGCTATCCCAATCTTGTCTGATACAGGATAGTTGTTCAATAGTCCTGGGTCGCCACGCAGGCAAATTCAGCCCCTCTTGAGAACATATGCTGCTCTGAAACCTGTGTATACTCACTTTATTCATTGTTGCAGCTTTGCAGCTAATCTGGCTTGAGATGACTTGAGGTTTGTTCCTCTCATGCAGGAAGCAGCCATCAAAAGATGGGTACACTGTAGTCATAAAGGGGTGAACATGGTCAGGAACAATACTCAGGTAGGCAGTGTTTAAACAGTCTGTAGTTGAATCTAAGGGGCCTGTAATGTGCAAAAAATATATATATTTTATTTAAATTTACTTTTGAGAGATTCAACCTTAGAACCGCACTGCTGCAAATGGCAGTCAAGAGTTTCTTATCTGGAACGTAGGCCATCCAAGATGCTGGTCAGTCTGTGGTTCAAGCAGGGGACTTCAAGTGCCCTACTGTCTTGTTCATGAGAGAGGATAGGATAGAGCAGGAGATAAATAGAGAAGTCAATTGAAATGGTTTGGGAATCTTCTCAAGGTGCTTCCAAGGAGCATCCCTATGAAGGCTTTCATGGTACGCCCATTTGGGTGAAGACTCTTATGATGGCCAAGAATTGGCTTGAGGAACTCGTTATGTATTCCTTCTGGGAAAGCCTTGGGATCCACCTGAATAAGCCGGAGAGTGTTGCTGGAAAGAAGGTGTCTGCATGCCCAACTGTTATCCCAACGGCCCAATCTCAGATAAAAGGAAGAGAATGGAGGGATGGAAACTGTGGTACGATATCTTAGTTTGTATATTTGCTACGTTTACTAAATTATCTTCCAATGAATAAACTATGAGTGTGGAGCAGGGGTCTCAAACTTAATTCCTCAAGGGCTGGTGTCCTGCAATTTTTAGATGTCTGTCTGCTTCAACACACCTGGCTCTGTTATGAGCTCATTAGCATAGATCTATTGAGCTAGACTGAATGATAGTGACACAGCTTCACAATTTAATTTAAGTGTGTAGGACGAGGGACACATCTAGAAGTTACAAGTCCTCGAAGAGTGCAGTTTGAGACCAGTAATTTAGAAGATTTGCTAACCATTGCATTGCGCTTTTATTTACATTTAACACAATGTTACAGCTTTTTAAAATTTTGGTTGTATAAATAAAAGGTACATAAAAGCTTGTGAGACTAAAATTTTACATCGAGGGTGTGTGCATATCTAGAAAACTCTTACTTTCTTCTGTATAATTTGCATAGACAAAAACAGAGAAGGAGGAAGTTTTAAAAAAAATATCTAAAAAGTGGTAAGTTTGCCTTTTTAAAGGAGAGCATTCAGGCTAACTGCACTATGTAGTGTCCTACACATGAGTTATGATGTACAGTAGAGTCAGATGTGAATATCACGGCTTTTATAACTGTTGTTTATGCCAGCATTAAAAAAAAATGTTGCTCAAGAATATTAACTTATCTCTAAGGTATTACATAGTATTATCATCTTTATTACTGTTATTATATTATGGTGAATTGAAGGATGAAAAAATATGTGCCATTTTAGCTTTCCTTTCTGTGTTATTATTATTTTTTTAACTGTGTAGCTAGCCAATTGGCTGCCCATAATGGTGCAATCATAGCAAACTTGTCCAAAAAAATTAAAAATAACAATGTTCCTTTTGTTGTAGGTGATGTAGTTACAGTATTGCATTGTTTAGAGAGAAAAATGCTTCTGGTTTTATACATGTTTCAAATTTTTATTGTTTGCATTTATGTTAGTACTACTGCTCTGGCTTGATTAAAACCATTCATTTGTTAAGATTCAGCAGAACTAATAAAGATATGTGAATTATTCAGCCGCTTTTGTCCACGAGTAAGTCTTTTTAATGCTCTAGAAAACACAAGATTAAATTCTGGAAGGAAAAATGTTGACCTGCCCTTTTTGCTCCTTGCCCCAAAGTGCCTTTTGGTCAATTTTTTTTTTTTTTTATATTATTATTTTCAAAGCCCTCTTCTGACACATAATAACATGTACTAAAATTATTTTTTTGTTTTGTTTTTTTTTTTTTGTACAACATAATAAGCCTTCCGGTCACCTTGTTACCTTTGACCTTTTGCCCGTGACGCATGACGCAGTTGCCTCTCGCGCAGTGAGATAAGGCGGCTAACATAAACATAATATAAGGATATGCTTATATTATGTCTATGGCGGCTAACTGGAGCTCAGCATAGCGAACGTTGCAGATTACAGAACAGTTTTTGGTGAATTAGATATTTTAAAAAAAAACGTTGTAGTATCGTTTCTGCTTCAGCACGGAGTCGCGGTTTAAGCAGAGAGGTAATGAAATACAACAGACACTGACAGGCCTCTGCGTCTGGCTCTCTCTGAAGAACTACTGAGCGGGAGGAGACAGCCAGGTGAGGAAAAACTGTTATCTATCGATTCAGTATTTTTATCATACAGACATTAGGCTGTTGTTGTTATGCTATTAGCTAACTACTAGCTACGACTTTGCTAGCAAAGCTAGATAACTGAAAAGCTTCTTCCCTGTACTGTTAATGATATCAGTCATTCTTCAGTATCGCTTATGCAATAGGGGCACATCGCCCGTCCAAAACTTATCATCTCCATAATGGATAAATGTCCGATCTTCTAATTTCCTTTGCTGCATAATGTACATTGCATTTATTGTAGCGTGAGGTAAATATATCTTGAAGGAGAGTAGCACTTAAATAAAAGTCCAACAAGGATATTAATTTAGATTTAAAAATTACTCACCCTGAATTACCACGATAGATA